ATTCTTGGACAATAAAGTATATTTATATATCTATCTATCTATTGTATTTTATGAGAAAACTATTAATTCTTTTGCAAATACCCTTCTCTAATACTTTTGAGAATATACTGGGCCACATGTGACCCATTGTACATCCTCCCGAGGGGTTGTCCCCCTAGGTCATCGTCCATTCTATCCTTTCCAGGAAGGTGGACAGGTCACTAAGAGACATCTCCTTCATATCGGCCAGTGTAGGCCAAGACTCGTGGAACACTCCCCCTTTTTGGCATCCTTGAAGTGTGTCACGGCAGCCTCCTCGAAGGTTTTAGAAGGTACAGCGACCTTACTGTCATTGCGTGGCTTCTTCAACCTTCTTGGGGTTCCATCCTTGCCTTCATTCAAGGCGGAGCTCTTGGCGCCCGCCGCAGGAAGTGCCCTTGCTGTTGGAGGTGGAGTGTGGGAGAGGGAGGGTGCACTCATAGTTGCTGCCTCTTTCGCTCTATTTCTACTTTTGGCCTTGGCACTGCAAATGCGCTCACGCCTTAGCCTTTGTACTACATCACGAGGTGAACTGCTATGCCAAGCCTCATTCCAAGCGGTAGATTGGGGTGGACATTTTTGTTCAGCCCCAGCCACCTCAGATTGAGGTGAGCACTTATGTCCAGCTTCGAGATTGGTTTCTGTTGTTTCTGTTTTTGTGTTTGTTTCATTCATGTGTATCTCCACTAGTAGCAGAGGTAGCCATTACTAGACGTGGGCTGATTCCAATAAGGTTTCGCAAAGGCTTTTGGGGAGTTTTAGTTCCATTCACCCTACTTATTTCTGCCACTGACCAGGAGTCCGGAGACCCCATCCGTAAGGCCACATTGGCTTCCCGGACAGAGCCTCCAGTCCCCTGGCCGTTCCCCAATCCGCCACCTGGGGACGCGCCCGATAGGTAGCCCAGCTCACGGGAACTGAATGTTATTACTATAGGGTCTTCAAAACAGGGAGTTTACCACCGCTGAGCTCAATGGACTGCCTATTGCGATACAATCCATCTGCTGGATATACTTCCCCAATCATCCATACCGTAGCTCTGATCGGAAGCATCATTTACAACGAGACCAAGTCGGAGCTCACTAGTATTTTTCTAGGACCTAACTTGATATATGTACTCTTTTTGATAAAGTCTTATTCTGTATTTCTTATAAACCGCTGCAGTAGGGTTATCCAGTATTTGGCTAGCTCATATGTTGATGAACCTATTGCACCCACGATAGGTTCAAGTGGCATATTCTCTTCGGATGTTTGTATGAGTGTTTATTTTTTTTAAGTATTTTCAAATGTCTAAAATGACTTTGGAAAAGTAAGGATCTTTGAACAAAAAGTAGTATTCTGTAGACAAGTGACAGTCGACAAACTTTCTATAGAACAGTAAAAAATCATCAAATATTCTATTAGTACTCAAAATCATCATTAACCGTTGTTTAACCGATATATAACCTTTTATTGAAGCAGAAAAATAGAACTCATTCATCAGAAATTTCAAAGACGTCACTAGAAATTACCAAAAGATGAAAACGCAATGAATTATAATACATTGTTTCATTCGACGTACTATATTTCCTGCGTCTACGATATTAACACATCATCGCAACAATAAATGAATCGGATGGGGTTTTTATTGTAACCACAAATAATCAAATCATTGATAACCACGGGTATATCATTTACAGTACATTTACTGACTTCAACAGTCAGACACCTTCGAAACTTTCAAACGTGTATATTAGTTATCTACTCAGTGCCAAATATGTTCCACACTTCTATCAATCTAATTTTGGTTACCTTGATATATTCAACAAATATGGTGAGTTCACTTCTATTGGTGTTTCACAGTAATATTAGAATATTATTGTCTAAATCAATCAGCGATTTCCGCGAAAAAAAATTTGAAAGGAATGTGTAATCCACTTCGTATAATGAATAAAATTCATTGTTGATAATTGGGCTTGAATGAGTAGAAACAATTGTGTATTTTTAATCTCATATGGAAGAACCTTATCAATCATATTAGGATACCGATCTTACTTCTTTTTCATTTTATGGACAGTTTAACAATTGATTGATTCAATTCTTGAATGCATCCTTTCCCAAATTTTGTTTGGTAGTAAGAAAATGATAAAAAATCTACTAACCAGAATTTGAAGAAGTATCTCCCACTATTTTCAGCTGCATAAACTTTCATGATATGAAAAACTCCAGGGCTTTTGACACTGTATGTCACAAAACCCTTTTACGCAAGCTGACTGATTATGGCATCCGTGGGAATACATACAACCTTCTGTCCAGTTATTTATCAGACCGTGAACAGAGTGTTGAAATTGATAGTGTCCTAAGTGTTCGCAGAACTGTGAGCTACGGTGTTCCTCAAGGCACTGTGCTGGGACCACTTCTTTTCACTATCTACATGAATAGTCTGTTTCATTTGAATACCACTGGTCAAACTATCAGTTTCGCCGATGATACTGCCATTTTGTACACTTTTTTAACTTGGCAAAATATGAAAGCCACTGTTGAAGATGATTTTCCTAAAGTTTCGAAATGGTTCCAATACAATAATCTGTTAATGAACAAAGCACTTGGTACTTACCATTTACGTCTTATATTAATCGCTGAAATACCTTGCTCTCACGATATATCGACATATGAAATGGGATTTACATATGCAACAACTTCTCAAAAAATTAAGAGGGTTTCTTCCGAAATTTAGATGTCTCAAAGAACTTATGGGCAGTATACAATTAAAAATGATCTCTTTCTTGCTAGTACAGTCACATCTTACATACGGAATTTTAGGATGGGGGGGTGGTAGTGATTGTTTTGCAGAAAACGTAAATGTGGTTCGAAAATGGATTATAAAACTAATAACTAATAATCTAAAACTATAGTAGTTATCTCTTATACAGGGTGATTCAAAAGTACTTTGACAAACTTCAGGAGGTGATTCCTCACAATATTCTAATATGAATTGTTCAAATTAATAAATGTCCGGAAACGCTTCGTTTCCAAGATACAGGATGTTGAAGTTTTATTTTTATTATCGTTTTTTTCAAATAACTTTTGAAATACTGAACTTAATTGAACGAAACTTGGTAATAGGAGGTTTTTGAGGTGTCGAATTCGAACCTGATGTTCTTATTGCTCTTACTCGTAGGGGGCG